TTTAAAAAGATATCCTGCAGTTTTTACTGGCAAATACGACTCTGGACGATATTCTTTTCCATTTGGCATTTCGCTGTTGGACAAATGCGATACTCAATTCCGGAGGAGATGGTGAAAGGCTCCGTCATTGGCGATGTCGCTGCAGATCTGGGAATCGATGTCAAAAGACTGAAAAGCGGCCGAGCTCGGATCGTTGCCGGAGACAGCAGTCGGTACGTGGAGCTGAACACAGACAAAGGAATACTGGTGGTCAATGAGAGAATAGACAGGGAGGTGTTGTGCAAAAAAACATCTTTGTGCACTTTCAGTACTGAGATTATTATGGAAAATCCAATTAACTTATATAGGGTTACTGTAGAAATAACAGATATAAACGATCATGCTCCGAAATTCCCGAATGAAGAAATAAATATAGAGATTAGTGAATTGACATTGGCCGGTGCGCGGTTTTTACTATACAGTGCATATGATCCCGATGTAGGCATAAACACCATACAGAATTATAGTTTGAAACCGACTGATAATTTCGTATTAAAACAAGAAACTCGTCCAGATGGTACCAAATATATCGAAATGGTGCTACAATCCCCCGTAGACAGAGAGAAACAGGAGGACTTGTATCTAACATTAACTGCTATAGACGGAGGTCACCCACCGAGGTCCGGTATAATGAAAATTAATGTAAAGGTTTTGGACGCGAATGATAACGCTCCAGTTTTTACCAAGAAGCTCTACAGAGCCACTGTCCTTGAAAACTCACCCAAAGGCACGCTGGTGACGACAGTAAGTGCAACTGATTCGGATAAAGGTGTTCATGGTGAAGTGACATACGCATTAATACGTATGTCTGAAACAGATAACAGAGTGTTTAAAATTGACGAAAAATCGGGCGGTATTTTTGTAAGTGGAAATATAGATTTTGAAAAAGATGAGATATTTGAGATAAATGTTGAAGCTAGGGATAACGGTGATTTGACAGATTCTTGTGCTGTTATTATTGATGTATTTGACGTGAATGATAACATCCCCATTACAACGTTAACATCATTCACTAATCCGGTTTCCGAAGACGCTTTACCTGGAACTACAATTGCAGTTATTAATATTAAAGACTTGGACTCGGGAGAAAATGGCGAGGTCTCATGTTTGATTAATGAAAGAAGCCCGTTTGTAATAAAGTCATCTTTAACAAATTATTTTGTATTGCAAACTAAGGAATACCTAAACAGAGAAACAACCGCAGAATATAACATTACAATCAAAGCTGCGGACCACGGCTCACCCTCTCTCTTTAGTAGCAAGACATTACATATCAGAGTATCCGATGTGAACGACAATGCGCCAGTATTTGAACAACAATCCTATGATCTTCGTTTGATAGAAAACAACACACCCGGTGTTTCTATTTTGACTGTAAAAGCG